CTGAGGGTATTGCACAGATGTGCCAGAGGATACCCAGTGGAAGGAATAAGAAGAGCCTCAATAAGGAGAAACCAGAATTTGTTTACTTTAGTCCAGAAATTTTTAAAAAGAAATCTGTGCTTAGCCTGGAAATGAGTCCCGGGGTGGATGAGGATCGGAGAGTGATCAGAGCAGGATGGGCTTTGAAAAGAGCAATATGAGTCAGGAAAAGCTTTAACCCAAGCATCATTTACCAAAGCTCTATCAAGCTTAATATGTATCGGATTATCCTGCCTTTGGTTAAACCAAGTGTACTTGCAGCCAATGGAATGGAGATCAAAAAGACAGTTGTTAAAAATCATGTTATTGAATTCTAACATAGCAGCCTGATTAGTCGGCGTCCCACCCAATTTTTCAAAAGCATATCTGCAGCAATTAAGATCCCCTACCATAGCCCACGGGAAGGAGTCAGCAGGGGCCACAGAATTAAGATCTTCCCACAGTGTTTTGCGATCAATATTACTATTTGAGGCATAAACAGCAGTAAGTTGAAAGGGGTTGAAGGAAGCACCCGATACTATCCCAGATATCATTTGAGAGGTGGTGACATAAGGAGTAAAATTGACTTTAATTGGGTTCCACTTAATCCAAATTCTCCCAGACAAAGATAAATCAAAATTATGGCAACTCTCTTCATTCGGAAAAAGAGAGTGAGAAGACTCAAAAAACTGATCACTCAGAGAGTGAGCATGAATCCTGTTTTCCAATACACAGACCAAGTCTAATTTAAAAGAATCAATTAGACGTTTAAAGCACAAAACTTTATCAGGCCGGTTAAACCCCCTGATATTCCACACAGCAAGTGGTGGGATAGACATTAAGACTTAGATTGTTTTTGGGGTTTTTTAATCTGCTTCCCCTTAGCAGTTTTCTTGGACACATAGTTGGGCTGAGTTGCTTTAGACTTCCCATTTTCCTTCTGAGTGTATTCTCCATCCCCATCATCAAGACTAGCTGAGGATAGCCCCTCAGACCCAACAAGAGTGTTCGGGTGTGATAAGGATTCATCCTCAATGGCCAACGCACCAAATTTATTCGGTGAAATAAAATCTTTTTTAATAGGGAAAGGCTTGGAACTTATAATATTAGTGGAAGATGAGGCGGCTTCATTGGGAGAATTTAAATTAGGAATTCCCGAAACTAAAACCCCACCAGCTGCTTGTGTCTCCTTATCATGTTGGGCTTGTAGTTGATCATTAGTGAGAGAGGTGTCTTTGAAAGGTGGCGGGGAGTGAGGTTGATAGTGGAGAGTTTTTTCTATCACATAGGAGACCGCAAGATCAGGGTTGGAGTCACCTACGACAACTTTAGAGGGATCAGGAATATCAGGTTGAGCAGCTGGATTTCTTTCAGGATGATGAGTAGAAGATTTATTTCGTGAAGTAGGCTTCCTACTAAAACTCCTACCCCGTTTTTGGCCATTCTCCAGCCCATTAACCTCACCGATTTCAACACCAGCCACATCCGGCTTAGAAGGGCAGTAGGAAGAAATATGCATTAAAGACTTACAGTGAGCACAAGGGACGGGGCGCCATTCGTATTGTACCTTCAAGCACACAACATCACCATCCAGGGAAACCTTGATCTCCTCCGGGTAAGTAGCATGGCAGTCCACTAAAACGCAGATACGAGCAAACGTGAGCCTGGTCTTAAGCTCCGTCAGGTTGTCGGCTGCTATAGGAACACCGATCTTACTTGCAATTCTCGAAATCCCTTCCGAATTCCAGCATGCAAGCGGAAGATCGTGGATCTTCACCCAAATCGGAACTGTTTTGAAATCTTCTTTCTTTGGTTTAAACTTCGGGTGCCATTTTTTGCAGAACAAACGGCTTTCCCAGGAGAAACCAAACCCCTCTTGACCATACCATCTCAAAGTCTTCGGAACAAGAGAACCTCAAAAGAAAAAAACCTTCGCTTAAAGAAAGAAGCTGAACCGAACCTTTCAAGCTCCAAGTCTTTTTGATAGCGCCCAGCAACGCCTCATAATAAGGCCTTCTCCCAATAGAATAACCGACTAAACATAACTTCCAGTCATCTCCACCCTGATGTAATTTTTCCCCCGTGAACGGAATGATATCCGGTTCGTCAGGAAAGTGGGAAAATTTAAGAGCTTTTGGAGTAGTATTTTCGGAGGCAAAAACTTTACTCCAGTTTCTCGGAGTAGAGCTAACCACTCCCCCAGCGGAAAGTTGGGGAAAGCCAGACGAGAGAAGAGACGCTTCCATCGAGAAAAACAGCAGAGAAGACAAATCCTCCGGCAGCGCCGGAGGAGGAGGCGAAGAGGAGAGAAAACAGCAGAGAGCGGAAGGGAAAGGAAAACCCTAGCCGCGAATTTTTTATTTAAATTCAGATTTTTTCGACCTGTACTTGATTTGTATCAGGTAAACTATTCTCTTCCATCTAATCTAGAGAGAAGAAAACAGAGAAGTATATAAACTCTTCATCAGTTAATTTCGTAGTTGTGTTATATGTATGTGTCTACAAATAATTTAATCAATAGATCATTTAGAATTTATTTTCCTGTTGTTGCTATCAACCCATGGATGTAAATGTTTTCTAAAAATTTAATAAATCTGTACATAAACTTTTTCTAAATTCAGTAATATAAATATTCTTTTATGACTATTTGTTGTTAATATTGTGTATATTGCTAACACGTTATTGTAAGAGATTGTTTGAAGTCATAAATCATGTCAACGAGTAATGATTTCTTATTTGCTATTGCAACAGTTATTTAAACCTTTTAAGCTAGATATTATTCGTTGTTATTTAAACCTCTATAATCTCTCTCTCTGTATCATACTAAAATACTTCCAATGTTTAGTCTTTCTATTTTCATGTTTATAGAATTTTGATCCTCTTAAATATGTTTCATTGAAACAAATTCAAAGATATTCATAAAATTATATTCGGATTATAATCAAATGTCAAGTTATTTTAAGCATATACATTTTATTGATAAAATAAACAAACAATACAGACAAATGATTAAAGTAAGATGAATTATAATCATTCTTGAATCTTTGTATACATACCCGTACTTTCACTTTCATATGATATCCATGTATATAATTTTATAAATCATCCTATATATGTATTTCTATCAACTAATTTTTTAAATAAAAGTTTATATTCATATAAGCAAGTTTATTATTGCATTTGACGCTATTTTTTATTAGTACAATTTTTATGATTGTTTATTTGTTATTATGAGTTGGGTTTTAAATAAAGTGGAGATAATTGTAAAAATCTCATTCCATATATTTTATGTCATAAATAATTGGAATGAAAATTTATAAATATAGATGTTGTCTCCTACAATCTTACTTCATGTTTTTGTCATACTTTAGTCATGAGGGTTAGAGAACTTGATTTTCTTTATTGATATGATTTTTCGATATGATTATTGTTGCAAAATTATAAATATGTAATTGTTCATTCACATTGATCAGGTTTTGAGAAATTCTTTTTTTTATATGTATATGTGATATCATTGTATCATGCACAGAAGCCGTGAGATTTTGTCAATATATATGTTAGTCATTGGATACATTTCTTTCATTATGCCACATGTTTACTTTGATAGTCACTTGTGCTCATTGTTGATATCATTTGCTTACACATGCTCACTTTTTTCATATGCTACAGATAAATTTTAAAAGTTATAAATTTTAATTGTTTCAAATTAATTATTGTTTAATTATATTTATACTTGAATGATGCCTACTCTCATTCCACTTCTTTCTCTCTTTGCCTTTGTTTGTGAGGTACATTGGAGCTACTTGGACAATAATTTAGAGAATATTCAGTCGCTCCCATTCATTCTGGTGGGGGTGCTACGGGCGGAAACACCAGGTCATAGCCCCCGGTGTAGTGAGTTCTTCTTATACACATCTCTTCTATTACTTCTAAATTCAAAAATCTAATTTCAACATGGAGATTATAATCTAAAGCTTATACATTGAAATTTTCATAACTCAAGCATTCTATTAAATTTACATGTATCTTTTAAAGTTCTTTAGCCTTCACTTTAATCGAGAGTATTCTTTTAGGAGATGTAATTAATTATAGGGGCTTGCCCCTATAGGGAGTCTAGATCCCATATTAAAATAAACCCTACCTTAGTTCCATTCTATAGTAGGGGAAAATATGTGGATGCAAATATCGCTTTATCTATATTTAAAATTTAATTTCATAATCAAAGGATAGGTGGATGTCTGATTTGCTCTTACAGGCGAATCAAATATCTTTTATATTTGATTATGGAGATAAATATGTAATTTATTTTTCTAATTAGATAGATAGGAGAAGATATTCATCATCCCTCAGGATGATTTATATCTTCCCTATACTATTTCTGATTAAAGAAATAAATTATAGATTTCTTCATTTCAAATCGATAGTAAAACATTAATCTGTCCTTCGGGGCGGTATAATGCTAAACTATTTTGATTTGTCTCAAAGAAATCTATTTAAATACAAATAAAGCAAATCACGTGAGAAATGAAAGTATTTTTTTAAATTTAAATATTTAAAGAATATAAAAATATTTCTCACATGTACAAGTACCAAGGAAACAAAGAATTACTGTGAAACTATTTAAAAAAAAAAGGGTTGACCTAACATTAGCATAGCTGGAAGTAGTGTAAAAATATTTATTTAAATAGAGTTAATACCTCGTGTAACATTTTAAAGGAATGAATGAAAAAAAAAATCGTAAGCCAAATCAAATAATTGGGAGAAGGCTAAGGACGTTGATAATATTGTTGTAAAAGGGCTTCATTTTTTCAGTATATTAGCACAAACATTCTAAAGTTATAGCTACTCACAGTTAAGACAAATATTACGACTTTTTAATTTAGAGCATTGGATTTCGTAATATTGACTACACTTCCCAAACTAATGAGGAAAATAATATGAGGCATTCAAAAGAGCATGCCAATGAAGAAATCTGTAAATACCTTGATTGTAGCATGAGAACCCTCAGCAACAGGAATATCACTTCTCCCTGCAATCTCCAGCTAAATAGGTGAAATATAAATAATGAATAGGGGAAAAAAATCTGAACGAAACCATTAAGAGATGTCCTTGACAATAACTCTTAAGGCATCAATCAAATAAAAGTAAAATAAGCGTCAAGTTCAAAATAGAGAATGCATAAAAATGGGAAGATAAAAATAAAGAAGAAATTTAATCTAATTTTGTCCCTCTGTTAGAAAATCTATCAAATTGAATAGAATATTTTACAAATTTCCTGTATTTCATAATCTGAATGGGGCATTTTAGTAAATATATTTAATCTAAAACACCTTCAAATTTAACTTTGGTGTTAACTTTAAGTGTTTTTTAGGCCCTGGGATCAAAATGGATCAAAATTCAATAATAGGAGAACTCAACTGAGGCAATGCAAAACTTTGAGATTAAATTGGACACTTGCTAATAGTCAAGAGACTATTCTTAAGCTTTTTTTCAATAAACATAGCTTTAAAATAAGGAAAGCAACGAAGACATGGGTGCTCTCAAAACTGACTAAACAGTTGGTTCAACGCGGTTCCATTGCCTACCTAGCTCATTACCATACCAAAAAACTGACATGACCTTAAACTGATTCTCTAGGTTCAACTTGGATTCGTTCTAAAGCAAAGTCAATTCAGCTTCATAATTCCAATCAAAGAACCGGTGAGAGTACTTCTAGGCCCAATTTATCTTCAAACAAACACAAATGGTATTCATATCTAAATGAATATACGACCAACATAAATTAAACATATATACTTGGTATGCAAGAATTAACAAGCGTAAATGAAATCTGAATGTGTGCACGATATATCCAAGAACAAAGCCGGAAAAATTGAGTCAACATCAACCTATACATTCCCCGTGAGCGACGAAAGTTTTTCGATACATTCACTTCTTCAAATTGAGTGATTCAACAAATCTAGCAATCGCATGAACCATTAATTTGTTTCCCAAACCTAGCTAATCCACCAAAGAAACTCAACAAATTACCAGATGCAAAGCATTCCTTGTAGCCAGAGTGGTATAAACATTTCCGTGGGTCGTTGTCAGACCAATCACCTCTAAATCCGGCGATCTTAGCGCGATAAAGATCGCCATAGCATCATCTGAAGCCAAAGAACAAATCGTTTGAAACAAAAAAAGCCGCCCCAAGGAATCAAATGAACAGGTTTTACTTACCGATCCCAGGGTCTGTGTCGATGATGATCTTTTTCCTCTCCGCTTCTCCCATTGCAAAGTTTGAGAGCAGAAGGCTACTTTGAGCCGTCGGCACTTGGTTATCGTTGAAATAGACTATTACGGAATTGGCGGTGGACCCATGAATTAACTACAGCCGTCCGATCTGCAATTAAGCATGCATTCGCATTCGCCATGAGCTGCTACATCAACGACCAAGATCATTTCTGTACGGAAACTGATCTTCTTTTAAGCTTGCTAGGCAACTGAATCATTATCTGGCCTATTTTAATTTAAGGGATATTTTATTTAAAGGCGTTCATTAAGATTAATTAAGAAAATTAAATTATCTGCATTCACATTTACATGAAAATGTGAATCAATTTTATGATTTATATTTTTATAATTATCTTAAATTTTAAACTTACTATAAATATGAAATTCACAAAAGAAATTTAATGTGGAAAGACAAAAGAATTTGAGCTTTCTTTAAAACACAAATCATTAAGGAAGTCTTAAATACATTTCATTTTTTATTTTTATAATTAAAATATAAAATGATTTTATATTTTCTAAATATATCAAATCAAAATGATTTGGTGTTTTCATTATGCTCTTAAATTAAGATTTCGTTGGGTCCTGCTTTTTTTTAATTATAATCATAATTTATTTTTGTTTATAATTTTTTGTTGTTTTCAAGAAATTTATATGTTATAAATTTATTTTTATAATAGCTTATAAAAAAATTTTCTTTATGACTGTGTCATAATCACTGTTATAAAGAATTATAGTTATCCCAAACATATCCGTAACTTAAATTAGACTCAGTTTACTTAATTATATTTCACATTCGCTTCTTCCTTAGAAACATTTATCTTAGAAAAATATTTTGTATATAAATTTACGAATAAATTCTCTTAAGAAAAATTTTTTGAATCTTTTCTATTTGACAAATGCAATCAAGCTCAACTTCAAATAAAAAAACACGCAATTATCAAATATACAAAATTATTTTCAACACTATTTTATAGTTAGATCAATAAAATTTTACATATACCTTTCATTTTAATTTGAGAAAATTATTTTTTCTTTCATCTAATCAACACAACAACAACAACAACAACAACATCAAGCCTTTATCCCACTATGTGGGGTCGGCTATATGAATCCTTTTTCTCCATTGTGTCTTATTAAAAGTCAAATTCTCATGTAAATCTAATAAAGAAATGTCATTCCTAATATTTTCTAATCAAGTCTTTTTAGGAACACAAGTAATAGCTTCTGCATACATATCTTTAATGATTTGAATATAAACATTATTGACTCCTTTCTTTCCAAAAACTCTCCATAGCACTTTTCTTGGAACTTTATTATATGTTTTTTCTAAATCAATAAATATCATATGTAGATCCTCCTTATGTTTCCTATATTTCTCCATCAGTTTTATTTGATTTTTTTTATAGAATATAATAATAATAAAAAATTACTATTCAGCATTTCCTAAAGTTAATATATATATAGTACAGAAATATTAAAAAATTTATTTTCACAACAATTTTATAAAATTTTATAAATATTATTAATCGCTGATATAATAAAAAAATGTATATTGCACTCATGGGGTGCATTCAACATATAATATAATTAAAAAAATAACTTTGATAAGATATATTAGTAACAATACTACCCTATCAATGTGTGGGGGACCCTTGCAAGTTGGCCAGATTTGACGTCATTTCAGCAAATTGCACATTCAGATTTGTCCTATGTAATTATCACAAGGCGTTCAGTTAATTCTGCATCAGTAAGTAAAAGCTCATCACACTATAGCAGCAATCAAGCTTTGCTGGGCATTATAGATAAGCTAGATTAGATTCTTTTGATTTTCATTAGTGGTTTGCTCTTTCAAGCATTTCCTCAAACAAGTCGTTGGCAAAAAGACAACTAAAAGGGAAGCCTTTATGTCATTTATATGGTCTGCAACACCTTTCTATTCCACCAAACCATCCGCCTACACACTGCAATGAACAAGAAATAAACAATCCAACTACCTCACACCAACGCCATGGCATGTTCAAGACACCACACATAAAAAAATCCCTCAAGTATTTACTGTAAATAATGAAAACTATATTGAAGCCATTTTTGCACATTCATTGAGCTCCATAGATTTTTATTTTTTTTATTTTAACTTTTTAGCCAATTAAGACAAACTTACACACACATCATATAAGTATGCTTCGAATTTAAGACATTTTAGGCTTTGTTTGGGACGGCTTTCTTAATGCTTTTTAATACAGTTTTTTACTACAAAAATTAAAAATTATGTACTTAAAAAGCCGCTTTAAGAAACACTTAAAAAGCCGTCTCAAACGAAACCTTAGTTAGTAGTCAAAACTCCAATTGAACTTAACAAAGTAATAACTGAAATATTTTATTGAAATTATCGCAAATTCAAATTCAAAATCCAATATAAAAGATATAAAAATCTTCAATTCATGAAGGATTCACCTTTTACAAGTAGGACGGACACAATTCTTAAAACAGAACAAGTGGAACAATCCATTAATTATAAAACAAATACAGTAAGATAGATGATTCATTCAAGCATTGACATTAATGTATGTAAGGTAATACCAAGCAGCGAAGGCTAAGGCCAAGATAAGCAAAGGAAGGAGGATATCCATGAAACTGGTGGAAGAAGTAGCCTGTTTCATCTCCTGAGGCTTATTAGCAAAAAATGGATCTGTAGCTCTAGCCTGGTTTTCATTTGGGAGCTCGTCGACATGAATGGAACCAATCAGGAATCCTTCCATCATACTTGTTGCAGTGGAACTGTGACCCACATCCTCAAATGACTGGGTGGCATCACCGTTAGCTTAAAAAAGCAATTAGATAATGATTTCAGAATCAGTGAATCTAACATCTAAAATATTCTTAACTGAAATTGTTCGAAACACAATCTGGAAATCAAATAAAGCTTGAAATATTGATTGCAGAAGGTATAAGGGGGTAAAGAGGAAGTGAAGGAATGCACCTGCGGCCTGAAGAAGAACATCATCTCCTCCTGGATGATCCTCTAAGAAATCGGTGACATTATAAACCTTAAAATATCATAAAGAAATGATTTTTGGTACCGAAGTCCAAGCTTTTAGCAAAAATAAAGAGATAATCGTGAGAATACCAAGGTAATATTGTTAAAGAGGGGGGGAAAGGATATTTTGCAGATGCAGAGAAAGGATCAGACCTTGCCGTGGATTATCAGCCAGCAATCATCCTTGGATGTGTGGGTCGAGATCTCAGAGAAAGAGAACGTCTTTGAAGCCGACATCTTCTCTTCTTTAGATTCAGAGAAGAGAGAGTAAGGTCAACGAAATCTGAGATCACAACAGGAAGAGCAAACGAGGTAGAGAACGACTGAAATACAAAGGAGGCCTCTCGGTACTAGCAGGTTGGGGAAAGAGGTTAATAAGAGGAATAGGAGAAAGTCCGGGGTTCGAGCTTCGTTGAGACTTGGTCTCATTGGACGGTGTGTTTGACCAGAAAGAAGTAAAGGTGAAGTTAATTCTGATGAATCTCAGTGAAAAGCATCACACTACAGAGTAAGAAAAGATAAAGTGATACCCAAAAAAGAAAATAATAAAGTGAGAATATTACAATGTTATAACATAATGTTTGTGTATATATAAAATAGTAAAGGACGGTTTGTTAGAGATCATGTGGCTGCATATGGTTAGTCACTAAATGCTATGTAATGGAGAGCTATTGTCCTTTGAACCGTGAGCTTGAATGTGTTAATAGCTCTCTCAAATTGATCATGCAGTGAATGATACCCAATTTGCGTTGGCATAAGTGTGTAGCTAAAGGTCGATACGAACAAGAGGGAGCATATAGTGAAGGATACCTTAAAGATACCATAGAAGACGCTTAAGAGATTGATAGTAGCCATTGGTCGGATTGTGCATATGCTGGCATATCTGATTGGTAGCAAAGCTTATATCCAGTTGCATAATCGTTAGATACTAGAGAGATCGGCCGAGCCGACGGCATATACTCAGCTTGTCGAAAGGTTGATCAGCGTTCTGGCAATGGGAAGGTTTGGTTGACATGGGCATGAGTGCAGGTTTGCAATTGTCGAAGCTGGATGCTTTGAGGATGTCACGAGCATAATGTGTTTGGTTGAGGAAGTAGTCGTGAGAGGTGTGCTTATGTTGACATCGAGGAACATAGAAACGGAACTCAGTTCTTTAAAGGAAAAGAACTCGTCTATGTTGGAGAGGAGTTGTCGAATGGTAGATGAATTACTACCTGTGATGAGCATGTCATCCACATAAATTAGTAAGTATATGTGGATATTGTTATGAGAATATATGAGAAATGAGGGATTCGATTTACTGAAGATAAAGCCGAACTAGAGAAGCAAGTGAGGTGAATTTATGGAACCACTACTGAGGAGCCTTCTTGAATCTATAGATCGCTTGGCAAAGCTTGCAAACATGGTGCAGATGTTGAGCATCAATGAAGTCTAGAGGTTGTCGCACGGCAAAGCTTGCAAACATGGTGCAGATGTTGAGCATCAATGATGTCCAAAGGTTGTCGCATGTAGATGTCTTCTTGAAGCCCATCATGAAGAAAGGCACTGGAGAGGTCTAATTGAGTGACGATCCAGTTGCGAGTAAGGGCAATTATAAGCAGAATTTTGATTGTGGGGATTTTCTCAATTGGGTTGAAGGTCTCATGATAATCAATATCATGTTCCTGATTGAACCCCTCTGTGCAACCAGTCGAGCATTATAGTGATCAATGTGACCATTGTTTCAAAGGCTTGTACGTCCGGCTACATCCAAGCATATATTTATTTGTAAGAGTAGGTACTAAAAACTACATACCCTTTTTCTGTAATGCAAGAAACTTAGAAGATATAGCTGAGCGCTAGTGTTTGCATTTGGCTGCTTCTGTGTAGCATGTGGGTGTAGAAACAGGTTGGGATGTGGCTAAGAGATTAAAGATCGTCTTGGGTTTGAGATGATCAATTTTGAGATGGGTTTGCATGGGATGAGATGGGAGAGAGGGAGGTGATGGTTAAGGAGATTCTTAGAGATGTGGGATTAGTTTGGGTGGTGGAGAGAAAAATATGGAGGGAGTGCTTGTGGTAGATTGGGTGAGCTGTGGAGCAATATTGGGAGAGCTAGTGGGAAGCTGAGTGGAATGAGGAGCAGCGTGGGAAGAGACATGGTGTTGATTGTGAAGTGATAGAATAGGGAATAAGTAACATGGGAGATTGAAATGATGTTGTTGGTGAGGTGGTTGAAATTGGGAATGTCGAGTGGAAAGAAATGTATGCTCATTTAAGGTGACATGACGAGATGTATGAATGGTTTTAGTTTGTGGATCAAAGCAATGATAATCTTTATGGGAAGTGGAGTAATTGAGAAATATATTGGTGCGAGATCGAGGGGTGAGTTATTGGGAGTGAGATGTCTGAGATGAGGAAAGCAAAGACAGCTAAATGTTCACAAATGAGTGTAAGAGGGAGGTTGATGATACAATATGTGGAATGAGTTTTGAAGATGATAAGCGATGGTAGGAACTCTGTTAATGAGTTAATTCGAGGTAAGAATGGCCTCAGCCTAGAATTGATGTAGAAGATTGGCGGCATGGAGAAGGGTACGTGTGGCCTCAAGTAGGTGGCAATTTTTGCATTCGGCCAGACCGTTCTGTTCTGGAGTGGAGGGACAACTTAGTTGGTGAAGTATGCCATGGTGGACAATAATTTGTTGGGAGGTAGAGCTGGTGTGTTCACCTCCCCCATCATAGCGAAGTGTTTTAATTTTACGGTTAAATTGAGTATCAATTAATGTAAAAACTATTGAAACTTGGAGAATGTTTCTACTTTGATATGCATTATAAACTGTCAACATAATATGATGTAATCATCTATAAAGGTTACAAAATAACGATAGTCATTAATAGAAGAGATCGATGACGAACCCCAAACATCTCAATGTATTAAAGCAAAAGAAGAATGAACATGAGAAGTACTAGTAGGAATCGACAGTTTGTGGATCTTAGCCACTTTATAAGACTGACAAAGACTTGAAGAAGAAGAGATACATAGGGACATGTACAATTTTGCCATGCTGCTCATGACATGTTGATGAGAGTGGCCGATATGAGCATGCCTTAAGGATGCTGATGAAAGGGTGTTGTGAAACGTAGAGGTAGAGAGGATCGAAGAGTTGAGACTAAGTATAGGTCGTCACGACTACGACCACAAAGAAGAATAATGAGATCCTTGGTAATGAAGACAGAGGAATCAAAGGAAACCGAAAAATAAATGCCATACACGAGCTTACGTATTGAGAGTAAGTTGTGAGAAAGAGATGGAACATGGAGAAGATTATGCAAGTGAAGCTTACAATTGGAGTCAGAAAGAGGTAAGAGATCATGACCATTGTGATGGATCGGAAGTGATATGCCGTTGGAGATGGAATGTTGTCAGAGCCTTGATCGGACAGTGAGTTTTGAAGATTTGAGACATCTGCAATTAAATGATTGGAAGCATCAGAATCAATCACCCACTGAGGGTAGTTTTAGCCTTGCAGGGTTTTAACCAAAATGAAAGGAATAAAAGGCACAAGGTGCATTTTTATGATTATTGGACTATTTTTATATTGAGGGATTTACATATGCAACTTTATTACACCTACATTAAATATTTAATAGCCAAAACTTAAAGATTACATTTCTACCACCCAAATACTAATTTAAAAATAGAAATAACACTCCGTCTCGACCACCCTCACGGCGTTGCTTCCTGCAACAATCCCTAGCCACGTGAACTGCTTGCATGCTCTTCCCGCGAACTCCCCTCTTTGTTTTTTTATGACCAAATGAGATATCTGTAACGAAAAGCACGATGAACTCTAGCTAAGATCTGCTCCTCTGGCAAGCTGTCATTCTTGTGATTTAGGTGTATTTTCTTTCCTTTCCTTGTTGTCGATCACTTCGCCATGTCATTTTTTTCGGTGAATGATATAGTTTCTCTTGTATCTTCCTAAACAAGAGTAATTTATAGCGGTGTTTTCTGTTTAGAAGTAAAACGGCATAGCTTAAACTTTCAAAATCTATTTTGTTTGATGCTTTCAAAATATGTTGTAGTTTGTTGAAAGTTTGGTGTGCCGAGCTTGATGAAAGTCCGTTGTAGTTTTCTAAATATGTGGAATGAAAAAATAAAATAAAAATAAAACGTGTTAATTCTTTTTGTATTTTGTGAATGATATGAGGGCACAACAATATAAACCAACTGATAATCCTTTGATTTTACTTTTCGGGGGTGTTTGGTATCGGATTTAGTATGATTTAGCGTAAATCCAGTCAAATGCAATCCACGCCGCTGTAAATCCGACAAATTCATATATCTAGGATTTACGGATTTACAACATAAATCTTTCTAAATCCTAATACCATTCCTATTAGGATTTAACATGACTTACAATTGCAAAACTTCTTCCCGCGACGCCCGTCCTGTAATCAGTTGCCAAACAACTTCTCTATATTTAACATGATTTACAATTTGTCATACCAAACACTTTTCAGGATTTATGAGCATAAGATTTACTAAATTCGGATTTACAGGGTTTAGTAAATCCCACTAAAATTGAATCCAACACTATACCAAACACCCCTTAAATTTTCATTTAGAATGTAAGAAACCAACTGATAGTTGCATTTCTTAAGAATAGCTACAGTATAAAGAATGAAAACTTCCAATTTGATATAAACTGCATGAACGAACTGATAGCTGCATAAACTTCCAGTTTGATATCGCTTTAAAAATAACTGCATAAACCAACTGATTGTCGAGTTTGCAATCTCAAGAATAAAAAACTTCCAATGAACTTAAACATATCATTCTTAAGTCTTAATGAATGATCTTGCTCCCGTGGACATGGAATTGGCATGGGATACATCAGGTATGTTCGCTTACTTGATTATCTGAACAATATGATTTATTATTTTGTGTGGAGTCCGATGGCATACAGAGATAAAAAAATGCGTCACGTCACCCAAAAAATGTACCGCGCTTGGTACCGAGCTCGATATCTAAGCGTAACCGGACGGGAGAAGTGTCCGGTGTCCGTATAGAATAATATCTCGAATAATAGATACCTGATATTATTGGATTATAACAAAAAATTGGAACACCGTATAGCTGCTATTCTTAATTATTGAAGATATTTTTTCATCTTCCAAATTATAATAGAAATATAATTGTTCATGCTTCCACTTCACCACTTAGGGATGTAAGAAGTAAAGGCTCATTAAGAGGACTGCTGATAATACAAGAATTAAATAGAGGGAGCCATGACTGGCTGAGTTCATATGACTAGCTAAGTACACCAGAAGTCGGATGCACGAGAGAAAACTATGGCGAAAAGATTAGGTGTGGACTACAAAGGAAAGAATGTGGGAAGAGAGAATTTCAGTGGGAAGAAAAAACTTCGTGAGAGGTTAGTGGAGACGGAGTGATATTTCCGTTGTTAAATTAGTGTTTGGGTCTGTTCGCTTACTTTATTAATCGAACAATAGATACATGATAGTATTGTATTATAACAGAAGACTGGAACATTGCATAGCTGCTGTTCTTAATTATTGAAGATATTTTTTCATCTTCTAAGTTATAATAGAAATATAATTGCTCATGCTTCTACCTCACCACTTTAGATGTAAGAAGCTAAAATCCCAGTAAGAGTCTTGCCGATAATATAAGAATGAGAAAGAGAGAGCCATGACTAACTAAGTATGCCAGAAGTAGGATGCACAAGAGAAATCTATGGCAGCAAGATCATGTGCAGACTGCAAAGGAAAGAACGCGGGAAGAGAGAATTTCAACAAGAAGAAAAAACGTCCTGAGGGATTGGTGGAGATGGAGTGGTATTTCCGTTGTTAAATTAGTATTTGAATGGTAAAAGTGTAATATTTAAATTTTGAGTGTTAAATATATAATATAAGTGTAATAAAGTGACATGAATGTAAAAAAAAAAAAAAAGGTGACATGAATGTCTCTTTTGGGGGATTTTAAAACATGATGCATAATAATAAACAAAATGCAACGAGAAGGCTTAGGCTTTGTTTGGGACGGCTTTTTTACTGCTTTCTAAAATGGAGTTTTAGTACAAAAATAAAAAATTTTGTACTAAAACTCCGTTTTAGAAAACAGTAAAAAAGCCGTCCCAAACGAAGCCTTACTTACTACAAACAAAGCAACAAACAGAAGGAACTGTAGTTTTTATCGCGGAAAGGGCTAACCTGTACGACGAGAAACCCTGCTCGCAGCGACTGCAGACGAAGACGCGGCTGTTGGAGGAAGGAGCCCAGCCGATCGCAGAGGAAGAAGAATCGGTGCGGCGGACGAGAGCGATGCTTAACCGTAGTTGCGGCATATAAGGGCGTTCGCAGCTACTCCACGACGCGGGAGCCGCGGGAGAGAGTTCTTGCGAGCGTAAATCCCGTTAAATACGCCGAACCGAGGTCTGTTATAGTTGAGTTATTTCCTGCCTGGAATCCGTCATTGTGATCATAAGAGCATAAAGTAGGTTATAGGGTTTATTGATGCATAGGTAGTTTTGGCATCTATTTATGTTGTGAGAACCTCTTTTTGTATCGGTTCTTCTTGCTCTTTTGGTAGCTCTGCTCGTTTCTTTGCTTTTACGCACTTGCCAAGTTATTACTTGTCCTAACTGTTAAGGTGTGGAGTTCATTTTTTATCATACGAAAATAAATGAGCTAAGTCGCGGATTGGCCTAGATTTTTTTTTATAAAGGGGCCAACAACATCTTTATGTTTTATGAGAGCAATTAGGGTTGTAATTCTTCACAATCAAACATAGTGAAATCTGCAATGGCGAGAAGGATACATACCCATTGGTTAAGCGGACATGCATAAAATTCTTTGTGCGTTTTTTATTTGTTGGCCATTTTTGTTTTATATTCTTTTTTTCCTTTTGTGTTTGAATAGGTTTTATCTATTTTCATCACTAACATGGTCGATTCATGCTTAGAATTGCAATTATCAGGCGTCCCTTGAACGATTTAGCTTATGTTTTTTAACAAAGATTTTAGATGATAGTTTTCTCTGTCTAGCATGTGTTATGTACGTGTTGCCAATTGTCAATATCAAGCATAACAACATAAGTGGGCATTCTGTCTTCTGTTTTCTTGTACCTCTTGTTTCTACATGTATAGGCTAAATGAAACTTAAATTCTGCTTGAACTTTGTTATTTCATTATGGATAATTCATCAACTCACTGAGTTAAATGCTGGGTATCTATGAGTTTATGTATGTAAATTGCCAAGTAATACATTATTTTGACATGTTGACTATGTTTTTGATGTATTTTTTTTTAAATTTGTGTTGTTTACTAGCATATTTCCCTTGGTATATTAAATGATTTTGTAAATCTGCTTGATGTATTTATTTATATTATTCCAGTAGTTTCTAGTGTAGAATGTCAAGTTTATTTCTTTCATTTTTCTTATTTTCTTTGGTATTTGTTTTTAACATGGACGATTGTTGGAAGTTCCTAGGTAGGTAGGAGATCAGATTCTTTTAGAACGTAATTGCTTGGAAGAAGCTATTATGGCTCACACAGCAACTGCGAAGAGAACATCTGTGTATCTTTACATCCCAAATATTCTTGGTAAGTTTAATTGTACCAAGTTTGTGATGGTTTTATGCTATGAGGAAATGTCTTACCTTTCTTTTGGAAGTCCTTTAATTGTCTACATGAATATGTGGCATTCAAGTCCCTAAAAGCTTTTGCATGTCATTAGCATTTTGCACACACCCCTAGTTTTGATGAGTAATTTCTGGACCATTATTGATCATGATGCTTGCTTAATCTGAATTTCAGTATAGTTGCTAATTTAATACGCATATGATATGTCTTTACTCATTTCTTCATGGACTGTCAATTGTTTTACTTATCCATAAACTTTGAGCTTGAAGACTTTTAGTGTGCTTCTAATGCATTAGTCTTTCATTTTTTAATATTTAGGATGGTTGTCTATGTTGTTGTGCTATTACGAAAATAAATTTAGCACCATGGTTTACTTTGTGTATGTGTTGCTTATAAAGTTGTTTGATTTTGTTATCTTGAGTTTGACTATCAAGCTTCAGTCTTCTCATTTGATTTGGTGAAACTTGATTGTGGTATTTTTACATGTTGAGAATCTATGAAGGTCAGATGCATGTTTGTGGGCTTTGTCATATGAGTTGTTTCTTACTTGGCTGATTTTTCTTTCCTTTTTTGATCAATGTTGCTTAAGTGTTTGAACTTTTACGAGCAATTTTAGATAAATGGCCCTGCCTCCTAATGTATACCGACATCTAGGATCAACTTTAGTCCATATGTATTGATTAAGGAGATGCTTACAAATGATATTCGAATTAGGTGCCTTGTTGTATTCTTTCGACAAATGATGATTTTAATCATATAAATATTTGCTTAAAAGTAAGAAGTTAGAATGTTGTAGAAATTATTTATATGACGGAGTGATTAGAATTAATAGAATAAAAATTGAGCATATAAAATTCAATTTTTGTGAATAGGATATTAAAAATAATTATTCAATATTATTGTAAGGTAAAGAGACTTATTGTGTGGTTTATTTAAGTATCCTGAGTCTATTATCTAGAAGAATATGGATATAGCTTTTAAATTAGGGTTGAGTGCTTAAAATGAATAAGTGCCTCAAAAGTATTGTGCAATAAGAGGACATCAAGGATACTTAAAGGTAAATTTTATAATAATACAAATAGTTAGATGTCATATAGATTTGACTGTCAGGCTAAAAAAGTATTTGATAGTTAAGTTGAGTATGACAAAAATCAAAATAATAAAATGGATGCATGGAAAAACTAAATAAATCAATTTAAAGAATGATTATATTAAATTGATGGTTGAAGTGACATGTATAAAGATAAAATAGTTGAATACAAACTTTTGCGGTTTGTGCAATTACAACAGAGTATATAAAATGCACTCATTAGATGAATAGATAAAATTAGTGTCAAAAGATTAAGAAGAAAAATAGGTAGCCCTAAGTTAACATAGATATAAATTGGCCAAAAAGATTTGCAAAGAATATATTTGACACCTTTGACGTCATGCAATAAGAATGAATGGAAATGAAGATTTATAAAGTTTGCTCCAAAGACTTGGGATGTAGTTAAAAATACAGAAATTAGCCGATTGTATCTCCTCAATGTGGAATATGGCTTTCTTTTGCTTTAAAGTCATGACAACTAAAGCTATAAAAGCGATAATCTTCTTTTTAAATTCTTTGGAAAGATTTGTTGATATAATCTTCATTTTAAAATCTTTGGAAAGATTTGTTGATATAATCTTCATTTTAAATTCTCTGGAAAGATTTTTTGATAAAGTTCTTCAGCATTCCATTTTATGAGTTAAATACATGGTTATACTAAGAAATTGGGTTGTTTTATTTTTTGTTGGTTGCATTAGAATAACTGAGTATTCAAGGTGATCTGTTTGCTATTGTTATATTTGCATCTAAATAGATTATCATTGCAATTGTTGGTTGGATATTACTACTTCATCGATTCAATATAAGTCTCTAATTTTGTTATTGTTCGAAATTAAGGCCTTGCTATCGGTAATCGGTGTTTTTGGTATATGCCTTATGAAAAAAACAATTCATATTCCTGCTGAAAAGTTTGTTATAGGTCCTTGAACTTTGTTATTTGGATGCATAATGTTTTATAATACACTATTTATGTTTTTTGGCTTGGTTGGTTTGAATTCTTAATTTCTATTCTCAGATATTGATCTATGCCGTTCTCATGTGTTCTGCAGGTTATCTTAGAGTTCTGCTAAATGTTGTTGCATTTGCTTTGTGCTTTTCCAGTAAATTGTTGTTTTCAATCCTTTACTTCATTAGGTAATTGCAAAACTTAAAGCTATATTAGAAAATTTATAGCTAATGTTTCCATGCATGCTAATTGCTATAAATTTCTTATGCATCTGTCAGCTTCGTTTGTGATGGAGTAGATGGTTGGCTGGCACGGAAGTTTAATCAAGGTACTTATTCTCTTTCTCTTAATTTGTCTTCACAATCTATATTTATTTGCAAGCACAATAGCGTAGTTTGAGGCGCACCTTGAGGCGTGAGCCTTGAACAAATTTTAAACCATGGGAAATATTGTACTTTTTATTTATTTACTTTTTAAATTGCTGCCATATCATTAATGAAAAGCAGTTTTTTTTGAACCATTACTATTTTTTGTAAATAGAAATATGCTTTGATTTTATTAGAATTAAATTTTATTTGTTGATTAATTTAAGTAAACTAATTCAATTAATTAAATAATTACGAGCCGGCTTGCGAGCTCACGAGCAGAGCCTCATCGAGCTTGAATTCGAGTTCATTTAGTAAATGAGTTTGAGTTTAAGCTTAAGCTTAAGCTTGAGCTCGAGCTCCTGCTCGGTAAGCTCGGCTCGTGAGATTGTGATCGAGTCGAGCTCGAGCCGGCTCAGCTCACTTACACCCATAATCTCAATCAGAGAGGACAACATGCATTTTAAAAATGCTTTCAAACTCTAAAGTTAATCACTAGGTACTAGAATTCTAATAAAATTTAAAATTTAATATTTATCAAAATTTAAAATATGTAAGTAAAAATATTTTATAACTTAAAGTAAAATTCATCAACCCTCTTCAATCGTTTGGCGAGGTTGATGAATTCACAAATAACCTCAGCTCATAAAGAGCGAATATCTCATCGAGAATATCACTGAGTTTCATTCTCGATTAATTTTCCACCGGTAAGGATGTGACAATTGTTCTCTAATCAATAGTTTCACCATAAAATGACTCCACATGTAAACGATTATGATCAATGCCTTATGACTAAGTGATTTTTCACAAATAGATGCCATTATGTTATTATTATGGCCAAAGCCATATGTTTCCTAAGGGCTTATACCCTTGAGTAATGAATTATATGGTATACTTGATAGTTCACAAAACCCTCTGTTAGTTAAAGTTGTCTTGAATTTGTCTCTTAGATAAACATCTGCATAACGTCTATAAGGTGCTTTAGGATGAAGCAACCCATGGCGGCCGATAAGGATTCTTTGGTAAAGTTGGGTTAATTACCTCCTCTGACTAAGTAAACTAGGATCATGACAATTTGGGATGATAGAACTATGAGATATTAGTTGGGTTTTCCATCATTCCCCCATCATCCGCTTTAAATGTAAAGTGATAAATTTCAAGTTCTAGATATTAAAATTGTTGCTATTGTAAGCTTGATATTTTGTGTCTATCAAATGATTAGTCTTAATCGAAAGTGCTCTCTCTTCTGAGGAATGGGATATTAACCATAGGGTCTTGCACCTATGGAAAACCTAAGCTTAGATCTTAAAATTCTTATGAAATAAGAGCGAAATATCTAGGAGTATCTTATCTCTAACTTTATTTGCCTTTTGGAAATTTGACCTGTAACATAATCCGTTAAAACCCTTGAAATGCAGAGAGGTTGCGGAGCAAAATTTTTGGGGCCTACAAACTTCTGGGTATGATATGTGTTCAAAGTTCTTTGTGGACATTTCTTGGGCCCCAACAATATAATAAATTAAAATGCTATTCAAGTAACATTTTGATATTAGTGAAAAACCAAAGGCGGTGGTCTTAATTTTTCATGATGGCAAGATCCTGGTGAGGCCTCAATTTGGTCATATTTATAAGATAGAGGTTATTATTACCCTTGTGATACATGTTGAAATTTATAGTTGTTATGCCACAAATGAGCATGCCAGCTATTAGCTGGTTGCGTGCCGTTTACCAGGCATTTTAAGGAGCTAGCATTGCTTGTTATAAGCGCGTTTCTTTTTTAATTTATTCAATAAATCTGGTTGTGTTGGGCTTTCTCCTTTTCCTTATTTTGCTTAAAGACACTTCATGTAGGTAAGATATATATTAATGATTTATATCATGTACAACTGATAAGTATTCCGTTGTTAGAGGTTTGCTAACCGTTGAAAATAAATAGGAGTTAAAAAATGTTTATTACTCATACTCGTTGATTAGACATCACTTGCATACTCGTTGATTAGACATCACTTGCTACTCTAGAGAAAGAAGGGAAATTAAGGTGAGCAACATTAATTGTGTTAGGAAATTTCTTAAACTTTTCTTTGGCATGGTGTTGAATTATATATTTATTTTTACTTTCATCATATTATTTTTTTATCTTCTTGTTTTCTTTCCTTATTTTATTCACATCGCATGTAGGGTGTCCTCTTTTCTTTGTCCTTCAATACTTCCTACGTTGTTTTCCAGCCTCTTGGACTCACCCACCCATCCATTCATTTACCCACATATCTTGCCTTCATACTCCGCTGCGTTTTAGCCGCCATAAATCTATGAGGGGCAATGAAAAGGAGGGATAAGTGGGTGATGAGAAATTACGCTCCATTATAAAGAAAAACAAATTGCCAATCACTTGCTTATTTGGTGGTTGTAGTCTTGGTGCAGTAATGGCATGAACTAAAATCACACTTAATTGATGGAATACATTGTTGTTAATTCCTGAAAAGTGCATTTGCATTAACAAAATAAAAGTACAAGAGACTATAACTATGGTTGTATAACTCAACACTATTCTACTCTAACAAAGCAAAAAAGTAGGACTGTTGCTATCATTTTTTTTCCACAACAATTACACCCAATGACAAAATGAGTACAAAAATCTGCAACTTTATTGCTTATTCAGAAGATGTTTGTGTACAAGTTCACTTTACATATATTGGCACGTGTAAGTCCACCTGCGTTTCCACATGCATGTGCACTTGGACCTATCCATTTTGCTACTGCCTTGCAGAACTGCAACAGATCTAAAATATATATTAAACAAGGGGGAGAAAAACCACAAATTAGTGGGGAATCTTCTGCACTAATCACACGAGTTCAAGGAAAGCTATGCAATCACATAGAATCTACATGAATTCATACACACAAGATGCATGATGTAACCATATAATTCTTATAAGGAATCACACTCCAAAGCAAACTAAGTATGAATCAATCAATGTTATGCTACTAAATGTGTTGGACCCAACTTTCTGGAATGCATAGGTGAGCTCACATAGAATCACAATCTTATATATGCATGCTCCTAATTTGATAGTTTCTCCGCTCTCTACAATAAAACAAAAATTTCCCCTATTTTCCACAATGAAGGTTCGTGGACATTGATAGCTAATGAACCATCATTTCCTACTGATGGTTTCTTTCTTGCTAAATGGAATTTTATTCGAACATATTATGTATAAATTTCCATTTTATTCCCTTTTATGACTGCATTAATGTTATGATATTTAAAGGGCATCTTTCCTCTTATTGAAATCTAATTATTGCAATTTGCAGTGAAATCAATGCAACTGTAAATGTAGGAGAATTAACTTCCAAATCTCGTTAAATCTCGTTTTGACCCTTTTCTTTTGCTTTCATTCTTAGTAACATGAGGCTATTAATATACTTATAAGAATAGTAAATAGTCCAATATAAGAAGTGAATTAAGAATTGAGTTGCTAATTAGTAATGACTCTTACTCATTAGCTGCATAAAATTTTGGGCTGACGGGTTTCTACACTTGTTTTCTGGATCAACTTGGGTGTTTGGTATTCCACTCTCTTAACAAGTGATATTAGAACTAATGGTTTAGCTGATGGTAATTCTTTAATACAATTTATAGCACCCATGGGTTGTGATGGTTTCTATCACGATTTAGCAAGATTGGAAAGTGGGCGACTCTGATGCAGGACTAAGTATGAATGCAGTTAATTCATATGAAATTTGCGTAACTCTTGATTAGAATAATTGAAAACACGACTAATAGCAGTTCAAAACGACAAATCAAAACAAATAAGGGGTCACACCCGCTTAGGCTAAATTACGTAGCAAGAGATTTGAATCTTTCAAAATAAAATGAGAAAGTAACACAATGACAAATAGTAGTGTCAACGAAAATCCCTAATCTAACAATAAGAGTTAATAAGCATAGAGGTACACTCAAGCCCTACGTTTATTAAGCTTAGCATGAGTAGCAGGGAATCGTCCTTCATGACTGTCATCAATTCCAAGAGAAGTTAGATTTAGGAAATATAATGAAAGGAGAAAGAGAAACCTTCGTCAAGGAGTGGTGGAGATCATCCACTCGACGTCTTCGAAGTGCTCGTCGATTGCTTCCACTAAGGTGTCCAGAATTCATTCCAAATATTCCTCGACGGTTTGATCAACTCTTGGGTTCACGTCAAAGAAGGTTGAGCGTAGGATATCGGTGTTACCGTCGTCGTCCCAAGTCAAACCATACTCAGTTTCTGGATCTGCCATTCATGGGGCTAGGTAGCAAATCTCCTCTCCGAAATCTGAGAACAATTTCAGATTTCGTTCCCAAAACCTGAGAGAAATTTCAGATTTCTTTCTTGAAAGAATAGAGGTTGGGAGAGAGGGTGTGGGTTTTAGAACTCAAGTGAGGAGTTGATGGTGAAGAGGGAATTTGGGGAAAGAAGCAACCCAAGATGGGGCCTTGAGGGTTTCGGCCAGCAACAGGTTGGCTCTCAAATTCTTCCCAAAGAGGAGCACTGTATCGTGGACAAAATTTTGGGAAAATCCAGTAAGGGGTGGCGGTAAGGTGGGAGAAAATTAGGGAATTATTTACTAATTCCTACTCTCAGATTTTGGAAACTAATTAAAGGCTTGGGCTTTAGAATTTTCTGCTATCATGAGATGGGAATTATTTCTAAGAGAAGAAAGTGGGATTTAGGAAAGGTTCCCTAATCCAAGCCAAAGGAGAGGGGCCGGCGGTATTAATGGGGAGAGGAATTAAAACAATTCATTATTGCTTGCTAATTTGGGATATGTAAATTGGGAAAGGCAATTTTAAATTCCAATCAATTATGAATTGATTGGATTGAATTTTAATGACTTTCGTAAAATAGATTTTGTATATTAGGAAATATTTTGAATTTCAAATCACTTGGATTTGAGTTCAAAATTAATCCCAATTATATTCAAT